GCCCGCGCCGGCGGCCCCGGCCCCGGCCCCGGCCCCCTGCGCACGGAGGTGGAGGCCTGCTATCGGCTGCGGATGCCCGAGGACTTCTTCCACTTCTGGGACTTCTGCCAGGAGCTGGATCCTGATGCGCCCGCGGGTACGTCCTGGCTTCCCTCTCCTCCAGCGCGAGGCCTGGGGTCGAGGTGTTGTCTGCCAAGGCAGATATGGAGCCGTCTATAAAGAGGCTTTCCCATTGCTTCTCTCTTTGAACGGGATGATGATGGACACAAGGGCGGCCCTGTGCAGGCTCAGACCTTCCCTCAGCCTTGCCCAGTCTCCTGGGCAGAGAGCGGAGGCTGAACTGGGTATGACCGTGGGGTTTTTCCACTGTTTCTCTCTCACTTGTAGCTTCCAGCATTTCGGGTTCAGGAAGCTTTGATTCCGAGGCCATTGGCAACATGTAGGGGTGCACACTGGTGCATGTGCACCCCCTGGGATTGGTGGTGCACCCCCTGAGAGAAGCATCACTGACACTGTTGGTGGTGCCTGTGGGTGGCTGTCACTGACTGACGTTGCTGGTGGTGCCTGTGGGTGGTCGCTGACCACCAGTTGGCACTCACAACCCTCCACCCGCAGACACCGCCATGGCCACCTGCAGGAGCTCACGACCACCCGTGGGTGGTCACCGTGCCCCCCCAGCCTCTAGGGGCACACGTTGTTCATGTCAGAGGCTGTGCCCCTAACTCCCTGCTCAGTAGCTAATAGATCTGGACTGCGTGCTCTGTGCTGTGGGAGGTTCCTGTTATAACCTTAGACTACGTCCCTAACTCTCACGCTCAACAGCTGCTGATGCCCCTTTTCTCCAAGGTTTTGTCCAGTCCCCTTTTGACTCTGGCTAAACTGGCAGCTTCCACAACATTTGGTGGCAACAAGTCGAACACCAGTGACACCCTGTGTGGGAGAAAAAAACTTCCTGTTGTTAGTTTTAAACTACCTACCTACTAATTTCACTGTGTGACCTCTGGTTCTTGAAACTGAATACACCAAGCTTAAAAACGTAGAACAGAGGGAAAACACATATCCTAGAAGTCTCTTAAGGTATGTTCCAATACATTTTATTCTTTTTTCTTAAATCCTTTTAATTGCTAAGGGTTTGGCCAGTTGCCTTCAGGCTGGGGAATGGATTTGGGGTGCTGATCCAGGGAATCCAGACCCTAAAAGTAACCTTTTTAGAAACAATGGGGGAATTGTTCATGTCAAACAGGAAATGTTTTCAGACTTCTATAGGAGAGCATAGGGCGGTTACCTTGTAAGGGGAGCAATCTCTTCTAATCTGCATATCGTAAAATTAAATATGTTGTGGTTTTTCAAGCTGCGCAACTGTTACTTTGGGAAAGCAACAGTAATTGCTATATATGGATTGGTGGTTCTCAAACTCTTGTGGAAAGAAAGTCACCTTTAATAGTCTCAACGTGCCTTGGGGAAATGTCAGATCTTGGGACATTCATACATGTGCTCTGGGAGGCGGGTGGTGGGGCTTTAATAAAGCGGTTCCAAGAGCTGCTCTGATTTAAAGTGCCTGGAGTGTCACATGTATCAGCATCCCCATGCTGAAAAACGGCGGTGGGAACTGCCATTTTTCAGCATGAGGATGTTGATACACTTGACTCTGGAGTCTGCTCCATGCTCCAGCAGACTTAATTAATTGCACCACGTTGGAGCAGCCTCAATGCAGCTGTATAGGCACTTAGTTTTCACTCAGAGCAACTCTTTATTGCAAAGCACTCAGACCACAGCAGGTCAGAATGTTTTGAATGCTGTGGATTACTTGAAATCTCTGGGTTTATCTTGTGAATCAGATTTGCCCATTTAACCATGCTAACATTGCACGGCATACCTAAAAGGATCTCAAGGTGCCCCAGGGCACCATAGCTCCCTGGCTGAGAATCACTGATATGAATGAAAACTGTCCGCTTTCACACAAAATGCTTGAGCCATAAAATTTTAGCAGAGAAGCTGTCTGCATATGAATACAAAAACACTTTGTGGGTAAGAATCTTTCATCTTCCAATTCTTGTGCATGGCACAAGAGGAGACTTGGGCCTGATTGCAGAGGGACTAGGGGTGTAAGGGCTTGAGTTTTGTTTGTGTCTTTTAGACCTTCCTAAATCCCCCAGAAAGCTTGATACTCTTCATGGTTTGCTTTTTGCAGAAGCACTTGTATCAAGTGTTGGACTTAAGCTGGTGGGGCCTTATGATATACTTGCTGGAAAACACAAAAAAGCAAAAAAATCAACAGAGTTGAACTTCAACCTTCACTGGAGGTTTTTTTACGACCCTCCTGAATTCCAGACTATAATTGTTGGAGATAGCAAAACACAGTATCACATGGGATATTTCAGGTATTTTGTATTACTTAATCTTTTATAATTGCAGAAATGCGTGATTATTTTCCTCTACTTGCATAGAAGGGGGGAAAGAGGGTGGGAATGAGGCACCACTAGAATGACAGAACCTCTAATTTTTTTTTCTCTGAATACTGAAAAATTTCAGTTCATGTCTTTAGCAGAACTGGGAAGACTATAGATGAAGCCTAACTTTAGATATAAAAATTAGGCCCTAATAGTACAGCATGTCCAATTTTGAGAGAAGCCTAGAACTTGCACCTCTGATGCTCTATTTAAAGTGGAATTGGCATTTATGAAAAGATGCTAAAGGAATGGAAAATACCAACCTTAAATATTTGCATATTGTTTTACAGGGATATGCCAGATGAACTTCCAGTATGGGTTGGTGTAAATGAAGCTAAGAAAAGCTGTGTGATTTCTCAAGTTGGAGACAACATATTTGCTGCAGTCAAGTAAGGTTTAATGCTTTCTTTCCAGCATGTAGGAAAACTAATTGCATTTGCTTAAGAACTAAAAGCTGGGGGATACTACAGATAGTTGCATTTAACTATGTAACAACTATCCTTGTTTCCCAGCTCTTTTTGGGAAAAAGAAAAAAAAAACAAAACAAAAAACAAAAAAAAAACTTTATTTCTCACCCCCTTCTTCCATAAAGCCAGAATCCTAATATGATTTTGGAGACTGGAGGGTTTTGGTGACTTGAAAAATTCTCTGAAGTCCCTACAGAGTAATTTTCAAAATGATTTCTCCTATGGCTCCTTTCATAAACCTAATAGGCAAATGGATATTTTGGCTGGCTGGTCTCACCTCTGCAGTTATATTGAATTAACCAGGGTTATAACCTCAACGTTAATTTATAATGGGGTTTTTTTATTTTATTTCTGAAGGAAATAAAGCATACTTGGTGTACAAGGGATATTCATAGTGTAAAAATCAACTGTAATATTTATTTGTCATAGTGATTGTAGTCTGCATATTTTAGCTAGCTTATGAAGGGAGATGAAGCAGTGGTGAAGGGAACTTGGAACACTTTTTACTAAACAAAAGTATCTAGCTCAGTGATTCTCAACCTTAGACTCAAGTCACTTTTCCTTAACTTTTCTGAATTGGGAGGCACCTCAGTTCACAAACACTGTTCTAGCAGCAGTTATTTCTGTACCCTGGGGAGGGGGCGGGAATATGAGTGGAGCTGTTCCGAGAAACAGGAGAAGGAAGAGTATGGGAGGCCAGACAGAGTCTTATCTACCACTGCACGGGCTTATGCAGGGGCTACAGGCTCACAGTGGGGACCTGGGGCTGAGTTCCCTTCATCAGCCTCACTCACTCGTTTCTCTTCTGGGTG